TTTGCCTCGTGTTCTCGGCACACAAGCACGGACATCCGGGCCCTTGGGCGTTTGCTCGACAGCAAATAGACGTCTCAAAATCAGTTTCTGCAAAATCGGACTACGAAGCCGAGGTGAGAGGACCATGATGGTTGACTCCTGATCATCTTGTTACTCCGTAGGGTGATGGAGCTTCGCCCCTATTGCCTACCGAGTTCATGACTCTCTGGCTTTCACTTGCGCTCAGGACCTTCAAAGAGGATCCCTCCGTAGTGGAAACACGTCGATCCGGCCGCGCTTGGCGTTGCTTCTGACAGCTTGCTCGGTGGACGCCAAATTCAACGACAGATCAGGACAGTCCGTGTTTGCGGCACGACAGCCTAACATGGTTTTTACTGCTGGGCTCTCGACGCAGCAGCACGGAGACGATATCGCATCATGACATCTGGTAGAGCCTCAAACTAGAGAAAACTCAGTGTCGCTCATCGGCTCGTGCTACTTTCTTCACCACACCGAGTATGATCAGGCCCACTGCACTCCTCCTATGTACATCCTTCCAATGCTCCCATCCCGGCGCCGCCCTTGGCCCCCGGTCATTGAGGAGCTCAGGCCCAAGGATGCTCAGTGTTGCCCTGGGCCCGGCCCCCAAGGATGGCCCAGCTTCTCGAATTTGAAGAAGAGCCCCAGACCGAAGGCGGCTAGCCTGAATGGGAAGCTGCAAAACCAATCTTTCAATTTAAAATCGCCTGTTGAACTTTGCCATGTTCTTTGTCCCATGCGCACTCCAGTATGGCTCCGCTCCCGGCCTTCCTCTCTGTCGAGGATATTTCTGCTTTCGGATTATCTCGCTGGGCAGCTGGACCTCCTTTTCGCCTCCCTGCCAAGCCCATCTCGAATACGCAAAGAGGCTTGCTGGTTGACGAGGGCGCACGCCTCCTCTAATACGTTTCCGGAGAAAACTCCGCCTTGCGCGACGCTGCCACGAGGTGGCCATGCTGAGCGCACCGAGGGTCTGGGTCGATGGCGCTCGCTCCCAAGTACTCCGTTATGGCATTGCGCCTGTGTGAGATCAGTTGTGTCCTATGCCGGCAGTTGACCCAGTCGTATGCGGCGCTGTCATGGCTGGCCAGTGCAAAGCCTGTGAGACATATCCAGCACGATGAGTAACTAGTCGCCGGTCGGCGCGACCCTACGATCACCAGGGAGAAGATCTGCCAGTTTAGTGACCATAGGTGTTCGGTGTTCGCCCACCGGTCCAATTTGACGTTGTTCGGTGATTCGGCGAACGCCCAGTCTATTGCTTGGGACATTTGACGTCGTCACTAGACCATGTCTCACTTGTAGCCGGAAGGAGCTCAGACCTTGTTGTCGTCGGTCACCACGGTGTGGGTTTAGGGATTATGACGGGATGCCATGTGAACGAATCCCTTGACATCAGGACAACGAACAGTCATCAGAGCACTCCGTGCCAGGATATGTCCTATTCATACTCCCGTCAAAGTCTCGGAGTGCCTGTCCACCATGGCAATACGGGATTCAGGCAGCGCGATGGCATCGCCTCCCGGCTTAAGGACGGTCAGAACCACATCCTACGCCCACAAAAACCATTACGACAACGAGACAGTCAAAAAGATGGACGATCTGGGAATCGAACCCAGGACCTACCGCATGCTAAGCGGTCATTATACCACTAAACCAATCGCCCATGGTATGATCTAGCCCGGACTTGAACCGGAGACCTTCAGTGTGACAGAGAAGAGAGAAATGAGGCTCTCGTACTGTTAGACTGACGTGATAACCAACTACACCACCAGACCAGTTATTGTTGAGAGCGGGCGCCGGTTTCTGCGTCCTTGGCTGCGCGAGCGCGAGGTGGTGTGGGTTGAGGGTTGCAAAAATTTGCAAACGGCTTTGGCAGGGTGGGTCGGGACGGGAGGTCCCTTGCGGTGGAGGTCGGAGCCGACCGCTGCCGACCGTAGTGGAGTTGAGTTCCGACGAACTCGTCGCTATTTTTAGGAGTGACGGAACGACCAGACGAAGGTTAATGGCGACGCGGAATAGAGGTATTATACGTCACCAGGGCGCCTTTCTTCCCTCAACGTTGGAGATATCACTAGGTTCTGGACTTGGGTGTTATGATTAAAATCGACATGGAACCCTGGAAACGATTGCTGAAAATTTGAATTGCTCCCAGCTTGAGACAACTTATACAGCATTGCCATTCAAAGTTGAAGACGACGCTCTGACACATCCACACTTGCCGCCTTGACTTGCTCAATTTCGTGATTCTGAGCACGGGAACGTCTAGTCCAATGTTCGGAGGCGGAGTAGCTAGTTCTTCTTGATACACCGCATCAGCCTTGCCACGAGATGTCTTGCCAAAACCTTGCCGCCTCAAGCCGTGATCTCACTTCAGCGATCAGCTCGACTGCATTTATAGTTTGCGAGACTCGGATAGACTAGCCCTAAAAACCCCCTGCTGCTACAAGTACTAACCGCAGGTGCTCTGATGAGCAAATTGAGGGCAGAATAGTTTATGGATGGGCGCTTCTGAACGGCGGGCGGATAATAGGCAATGATGCTGGGGCAAAGTCGCCGCGGAGAGGGGCTGAGCCGGTCGTGAGATTTGTGCATATGGTTATATCATGACATTTCACAGTAAAGGTATCTCTCACCCACGGTTGACTAATAGAAGTCTCTGTAAGGCCTTGTTGCGGAATGCCAGAAGATTTGACACCGCGTTTGCTGTAGACTTACATGAGGGTGGGCCATGGAGTAAGGATGTTAGCGAAACAACATTAAACAATAAGAAGCCCTACGCTTCCTTATATTTCCGCCTCACGTATTGAATGCCAGGGAAAAAGTCTGATGACTGTGGTGGAAGGAGCGAGGTAGGAGAGGTTGCCCTAGGTAGAAGAGGTTGCCCAGGTGACGCACCGGGTACCCAAAACAATCACCGCCAGCACCCTGAGGGACCACGATTCCGTCTCCGCTACGTGTATTCATCCCATCCCGTCCCTTCCACACGAGGCCATTGCCACAAGCAGGAAGGGTATATACCCCCCCTCGAGTCCAATTCTGTCACCAGCACGGCAGGCGCCCTCTAGGTCGGGGGTCAGGTCAAACTGTGTCGTGGGTGGTGGAATGGTTCAAGGTCGACATTCAACTTTAACGCCAACCAGCCTACTAGACGACAGGCTTAGCGAGTACCCGAGCTCGAATCCAGCATGTGCGCCAGAGATATAGCCCCAAATCGGCACCGGGGGGATGAACTCTTTTGTTGCTTGGTATTGATTTTTTGATCATTCTTTTGCTGATATGAGTACTGCCCTACAACAGCGGTGAATGTGATGAAGGGGCTGGTCGGGACATTTGGCCTCTTACGTATCTCCTGTGATATCTACCTACGGTGGGTATCTCAAGGTGTCTGGCATGGCGGCAAGTGCATTCGAGTATGCTCTTTTCCCATGGAGATGCTTTCTTATACACTCATATCCCAGAGCGTCTGCTGGATCATTGCCGATTCTAGTAAACTAAGGCAACGCAGCTCCAAGTATGTTCACCGATGGGAAAAGAGTTTTCATCTAAAACCATTTGAGCGACAAAAGGGGGAGGGGACTGAATTCAGAAGGTCACGCTTCTTGGCGATGCGCTTTCATCTATGACCGTCCTCAATCGTCGGTGACATGTAGTTGCCACTTGGACGACTGAAAATGGATATAGAATATAAACATGGATGTATAGTGACGATGTCAGTACACAGAATTAAAGACCAGAGGCGCCAAGTCCGTCCGCACGCGTATCGAATGGATCTGACGGGCCCGAACCTGAAGTTGACAACTGTTGGTGCTTTGAATTGCTCATTGGGGACTATATGAGGTGTTCAACATCATCCATGACTCCAAGGACTTATTATCTATCGACGAGGTAATCTGAAAACATCTCTTCTAGCGGCCCATCTGTGCTAATGGGTATCTCACAGCGGTGAATGAGTCACGTGCATCAAATTCTCGTGAGCAAACACCAAACATATCCTCCTCAGACGGAGCAACTTCGGAACACTCGCGTGTGAGCACCTTGGAGGACGAGGCAGGGCGAGAATCAGAGGGCAAATACATCCGAACTACTTCACATATCTTAGTGGATGCCTTGAACGATACATATCTCAAAGTCAAATGGAGCAGAAAAGCAAAAGCTCAGGTGCCCAGTTCGTGAAATGAACTGGACCCCCTACGAAATCCTCCATCTATTGCGACTTCTCGAGATTTCATACCAAGTTCGTTACTAACGGACCAGGGCGTTATACCGCTCGACCATGGGGATCGATTGGGCTTGGTTGACGAAAGAGCGATCTCGATCTCGATATAAGGAAAGGCAGGCAAGCACCAGGTAAGGTAGGTAAGTAATGGGAGACGAGGAAGGAACGGTCCCGGTAGAGGCGTGGATCATGAATGGAGGCAGGTACGGTCGTCAACAGGAGCCAGGTACGGTCAATGAGCCCCCATCTCTTAACATCTCTCATTACCTTCTAGGTTCCTTACCTGCCTGAGGTATCCGACGGTAAGCAGAGGGGATGGTACATGAGCGTCTTCGACTCCCATATTGTCACAAGCTGAAGGGGCAGGTGGTCAAGTGGTTAAGGAGGCGCCAGTGGAATCCGTTCTTCCTTGGCCGCCCTCAACCTTGGCTCAAAACTTTTGGTTCGATTGCCCAAGGATGACCTTTTTTGTCCTCTCTGGGTATTGTGGTCGCCAGGGACATCTCCCGGGTATCGGGAGAATGCGGCCTGGTAATGTTCCAATGCATGAGATTTGCATTAGTCGTGCCGCATCTGAATGCTGACAACAGTGTAGCTTCAATGCTTCATGTTATTGGCATACATCTCTTCACTCCGAGATGAGAAACTAGCCGAATGGTAGTTGGAGTCCTGGATATGTAGTCCTGGCCGTTTCATGGGCATCATTAGTCGCACTTCACTGTGATCAGCGACATGACATTTGGGAGAGTAATCCTCTATTGTTGCGTTGTGGCAGCATGGTACCCAGATGATTTGTCTTTGTTCTACACCCATATGGTACAGTATCTCAAAACTCCTTCTCTTCCACAAAAGTCGGGAGTTTTCCGTCCGTCTTCTTTTCGATATTTTACAAGTGCAAGGTACGGTAACCCCAGTCAATGCTCTTCCACCACCTGGTACTGATCACCAGTACAACAATCCCAAAACGCAATCATTTACTTCTTCCGTGTCTCGCTCCAGAACTTCTGTCTCTCCTGCTCGCCTCTCTGCTCAGCGTACTTCTTGGCAGCCTTCTCCGCCTCGCGCTTGCGGCCGGCCTCGAGGTGGTTTCCGGCACCGCCCTTGGCGTTGTGGACGGTCTGCTTCAAGTTGTCGACGATGCCCTTGATGCTCCCGGCGTCAGCCGCAGGGGTTGCGGGGGCAGGAGTCGCGCGCGGGGCCTGGTAATTCAGACGTGTAGGACCAGAAGCGATTCTGTTCGCAGTGGCTGTAGTGCCGATGGCAGGGCCGGGCGTGGCGATTGGTGTGAGGTTGAAGAGGGAGCGGAAGGCGGCCTTGGAGAAGAGCCAGTTCTGGGCGACACCGATGAGACCGGTGATGAAGAAGTAGAACTGGACGCCGGCGGGGAGGTACGAGGTGAAGATTACGGAGAGGGGTCCGAGGATGTACATCATCAGCTTCTGCTGGGCCTTGGCTTGAGGCGTGGAGTACTTGGAGCCGAGCTGGAAGTCGACACGTTAGTATCTAGAACGAAGCAAGCTAAGCCGCCTGGGTTTCACGTACCTTGACCATGGCAAACATGGCCATCGGACCAGCAATGGGCAGGAGGAAGTAAGGGTCAGAGACGGTCAAATCCGTGATCCAGAGGAAACCACCAGTCTCCATGCCAGGGACAGGGATGCTGGCAGCACCGTTGAGGACACGGAACATGCCGTATCCAAAGGGAATCTGAAGGAGACCCCAGAAGGCGTTGAGGGGGTTCACGCCGGCGCGCTTGTTCAGCATGGACAGGTCGCGACGGGCCTCAGTCATGGCGGCCGAGTTACCACTCGCCATGGCCTCCTGCATCGCCTTGCGGGTCTCGTCGTAGGCTGGATCCTGGTGGAGCTTCTGCATCCTCGCCGAGGTGTCTTGGGACTTGAGGAGCGGCTTGAACATGATGAGACGGAGGAGGATGGCCGTCGCGGCGATGGAGCCCCACCACGGCATGCCGGAGAGGACGTGGACGTGTTCGAGGGCCCATTGCATCACGCTCGAGGGGCCCCAGCCGAAGTCGAGGCCGAGGGTCTTGAGGAAGCCGATTTGTTCGGGGAGATCGAGGAGGGAGGCGGCGTCGAGCTCGGGAAGGGACGAGGTCGAGGGGGCGGCGGCCTCGGGGACGACGGGTGCGACAGGTGCGACAGGCGCGGGAGGAGGGATGGATGAAGCGGATGCTGAGGCGGCGTCGACGGACCCTGAGGGCGCAACCGGTGCAGCTGGTGCAGCTGGTGACGGTGCTGATGGTGTCGGCTGGGGCTCAGACTTGTCCCAGAGGGAGATTGCTCTTCTCGTCTCGAGGGAGCCGCCGATGGCTACTGTGCCGGCGAGGCCACCTAGTCTGGAGTTGGTCGATCTCAGTGCCGCCCAGGGCGCACTGCCGTTGCGCATCGAGGTTCCGAATTGCCGTCCATCGCCGAGTCGTCTGGGTGCCCGGGAGATCTGGTCACTGCACGTTAGTACTTGATGCGTATGGGATTCCGAAGGCAGAGGGTTGGAGGAAGAATGTACACTTTGGCGGGTTATGCTGCTGGCCGCTCTCGTGGAGGGCAGCGAACGAAGAACACCTCTGCTGGGCAGCATGGTGGGCAGTTTCTGAGGGAGGAGGGTTGGGAGGGTGGTGAGAATTGCAGACTGACGCTCCAGTCAGCGTCTTTCTGTCTTCAGCGCGAGTTGCTGGAAATTTTTGGGGACCTCGCCATTGGAACTGCGGACGCGCCGGGGAAATGTCGGGTGGGACGGGAAGCGGGTCCAAGCTCCGGCTCCGTTCCGCGGCCAGGGGAGAGTCACTTGAGTCTGGGGGACAAGACTCGGGAAGGTCAGCATTGGATATCAGTGACATCGGAAGGCTCGATTGTAGCTGTGCATTTATGGGGAAGTTTGCAAAGCTGAGATTGTGGGCTAACCATCAATAAATGAGGGAACATGCTGTATTTTGGTTTCTTTTGATCCTCGTATATATGTACGACCCTCGAGTCTTGAACTCGTCACTGTAACCTGGTCCGCACCAACACCATCTGTCCAAGGGCCATACTTTGTAAATGCCTTTACTCTCCCCGTACGCCGATGTATGTAGCCTTGCCTAGGTAGGTAGTATATCTGGCTGGGCATTGTTTGTAATAATCCCGACATCGCTGGCAGCAACTTTCCGTTGCTGAGGGATGCTATCGTTTCTTGTCGTCTCTTGGAGAACAGCTTGCGACCTCACACGCGGTCGGAAACATCCCATAATCGTAGGTGCACTCGTGCGTTTATTCCCATCCGCCTAGTCACTCCATGCTCGTCAAATCATCGAGACCGGTGGAAGGCCTTCGGTGCTTGTCGCGAATCTCAAGGCCGGGGCCAATAGCGTGCGCCGTTCTCCGGGACAAGGGGAAGACCTAGAATATCATTTGTTAGGTACTTTTACAACATGTGCCACCATCTTCGGCTAGATCCTCACAGCATGCGCATGTTCTGTAGATGCACGTATGCGAGTGTCCAGCAACTTCGTTCGTACCTTGGTGCCGCCCCATCCTAGCCTGAAGGCCGCCTCATGTGCAAATAGCTCTCCGAATCCCAGCATCATGCCATTGATAAAGGGGAGGAACAGGTTGATAGCGGCCCCGCGGACCAGGCCCCAGAACGTAGGCGGCTTGTAGAGGATGATGGGCGAGTTGGACGAGGGAGGTGATTCGGTGAGATCCTCGCCTTGGGAGTACTGCTCGCTGTCGGACCGGATTGTCACGCCGGACTCAGCAAGGGGGTGGAGGGAGTCGTCGGAAGCCATCGTCGACGCTGGCTTGGGGGTTCGGAAGGTAGTGATCGTGGGGATGATTGGAAACTTGGTCGACGAACAGGTTTACCGAGATTCGGCGCAGGGCAGTTCGATGATGGGACGGGGAGCTACGGCTACGGCATCACCTCGGAAAATCACACCGCAGCTGCCGCCTCCCCCAACGTGTTGCTGCACTGCGCCGGCTTGGAGTCTGCGGGGTCTGTGCGTAAGTATTCGACTTTCCCCGTCGGAGCTTCAGCCACAATGGAGAGAGATTAGATAAGCTACAAATGTGGCGGTGTACCTATGGTGGGGTTGGGGCAGTTGGTATGGGCGGTGGCTCCTCCCTCACGTCACAGGGAACGTGCTAGACGGCCAAGTACCTTTCATTACGGATGCAGCTCCAATGCCCGTGGAAGCAGTTACGACCACTAAGCTGCCTGCTATTCGTCTCCCACTTCGCCTTTCAACCACTGCACAGCGCAACCTTCAAAGAAAATTGAACTTCAAAAAGACCAAGGATTCACTGGTGATATCTCTACCTACCTTATTAAAGGACGACACCGTTACACGCTAGGTTAAGAGACCACACCATTCTCTTTACATCTTCCGTACATTCAATCCTTCCTCATTGACACCTCACCATTCCCCGCCATACCACATCCAATACCGCCAACATGTCTGGTAGCTCCAACAGCGCTTCGCGCAACAATATACTTCGCGACTTCAAGAGCCTAACGGGCATGCCCGAAGCTAGGGTAAGGTGTTTGGGAAGAGCATGGTGAATTATTTTACTAACTTTGCGTCAAGTGCACAGAGTACCTCGAATCCGCAAACTGGGACATCGGCCTTGCCGCCCAGGCCTACTACGCCGACCACGACTCCGGTGAGGAAGAAATCGAGCCCGTTGCGCAGGCTCAAGCTTCTGCCCCTGCTCCCGCCGAATACACTGGTCCCCGAACTCTCGATGGACGACCCGCGCCCGAGTCGGCCGGCAGAGCGAGCACCGTGAAGAAGGCAGCGCCTAAGAAGAAGGGTCTCGCAACGCTTAGCTCTATTGGAGGAGGCCACGCACACGACGACGATGACGATGAAGATGACGAGGACGACGATGACAGAGGCCGCGGCGACCTCTTTGCTGGCGGTGAAAAGTCTGGACTGGCTGTGCAGGACCCGTCTCAACAAGAGGGTGGTGGTGCTAAGAAGATCATCAGCGACATCCTCGCCAAGGCCAAGGCGTAAGTTCACAATGCAAGAGGATGCTACGAGGACGACAAGGCTGACGCAGATCAGGAACGCATCCCGGCCAGAGACCGCATCGCCCGCGGGCCCTTCGCGCTCCGGTGCTTTCCGCGGAAGCGGCACCACGTTGGGTGGCGAGGGCTCCGAGAGCCGCAGTATTCCCGACCCCGATGCTCAGGAGGGTGCAGGTGGCTCAGCGGGTGCGACCGGCGAGCCTCAGGAACGTACATTGCACCTGTGGCAGGATGGCTTCAGCATTGACGATGGCGAACTTCACCGATTCGACGACCCCGAGAATGCGATGGATCTCAACATGATTCGGGCTGGCAGAGCCCCTCTGCACTTGATGAATGTTCGCTACGATCAGCCGGTCGACGTGAAGCTTCATCAACACCAGGAGAACTACCACCCATTGCCCAAGACATACAAGCCGTTCGGCGGAGAGGGACGCCGGCTCGGTAGCCCCGTTCCCGGTGAGGGCAGCTCTTCGTCCACCACAGTCGCCCCTGCTGCCTCGGCCTCGGCGAGTGCCAGCTCGACGGGCCCTCAGCAGGCTGTCGATGAGTCTCAGCCTACCCTGACCCTCCGTATCCAGTTGCCCAATGGCACCAGACTGCCGGCTCGCTTCAACACTACCAACACCATCAATGACGTCTACGAATTTGTGCAGCGCGCTTCTGCGGATACCCGCACCAGGTCCTGGGTGTTGGCCACGACTTTCCCCAACAAGGACCATACTGATCGCAGCTTGGTGTTGGGCGAGATGTCTGAGTTCAAAAAGGGCGGCACGGCGGTTGTCAAGTGGGCTTAGAGCACGAGGCAGATGGAAAAGAAAATGGCGGGAACCGGGCGGCGTTTGGTACTTTGGGGCTCTGGCCCGCATTATGGCCGGGTGGCTTTGGGTCTGGGCATTTGAGGCCGTTTGCCTCTGCGTGGAATGTAGACTTGACTTGAGAAATAGACACGCCCACATGAAACAGTAACATCAGGTCGGCAAGTCCTTTCATTGCTTGCTGCCACAGTACCTTTGTGATAAGTGTACATGTACTTGTTTGTTGTACAGTTTTGAGGTCCTTCAACGCCCCTTCAAATGGTATCATTAATCATCCCTTGCCATACGCCGCTGCGGCAAACTGTTTGTTGCCGAAACGTATAAACCACCTAGAAACAGATCCGCAAGGTTCGCATTATTTACAGCCCCTCTTTGGAATACTCTCATGCTGTGCTGCCGCCGCCGCCTTGCGAGATCATGGTGGCTGGGCCGTCGAGGAATTTGAAATGCTCAATCGCGATCTGGCAGTTGAGCATGGCGGCGTTGAACCTAGCCTCGCCGGGTGGCAGGATGACCATCAGGTAGGTATTCGTCGTGAACTTGAGGATGAAGAGGTTAAAGCGCGTGCCGGCCTTGTGCTCCATGCGTACAAACTGCTCTGCGTTGCGCGGGGTGCCGGTAAAGCGGCTGATGGTCTGCTTGAAGTGCTTCATGATGTTGGACATGCGCTCCAGCCTGTCCTCGGTGGGGTTCCGCTGGCCTTCTTCCGAGGTCCAGGAGGAGACGGCGAGGAAGGAGGTGCGCTCGAAGAGGAGGAGCTCCTCTGCCTCGATGGCGACGCCGAGGTTGGCGAGGTTTCGTTCGATCGTGGCCAGGTTGGGGACGAGGTCGTGGATGATGCTCGCCCAGGCCTTGTAGAGACTCTGGTCCCAGATGCTGGTGGCGAAGGGAGTGATGTCGAAACCGCCGGCGGGGGGCGCGGTCGAGGGGCTGGTGGGGTCGTCGGCGGCGTCTGGGTGCTGTTGGTGGAGGTAGCCGATGCTGTTTGCGTACTCTGCCGTGCGCTGGCGGACGACGCGAACGCGGTCGTCGTAGACGGATTCGCGGTGGGCGGGGACGACGAGGTCCATCTTGTGGATGAGGACATAGATCTTGGCGCCCGGGGAGAATTGGAGGAGGGCGGAAATGATGGAGACGTAGGTTGCAAGGTCGCGGTCAATGTCGCGGGACTCAATATCGAAGACGTAGATGAGAACGCCGACGTTGGAGAAGACATGGACGCGCTGCTGGGAGAGGTAGTTTTCCATAAAGGCCTCTTGACCGCCGCAGTCCCAGAGGTTGAGGGTGAGGTTTCCGAGGAATTTGACGTGGGAGAGGTCGATGTCTATTGTTGCGCCGCTGTTTGGTACCGTGGTTAGTTTCTATAAGGATGAAATGTGGCTAGCAATACCACCAGGAATAGAGGAATAGGACTTACAGTCTCCGGGTATCACGGGCAATGTAGTTGCTGAAGATGATGCTTCGCATGCTCGACTTTCCCGAGCCACTCTTTCCCATGAGCAGAACCTTCTTCTTCTTGGGCTTCTTGACCTCTGCCAGGGGCGTGTTGCCCGGGCCATTGGTGTAGCCGGCGTCAGCCATGTTGAATATAGGCTACCCTGTGCTCGCGATCTGAAGAGCTATCCAGCACGTGGTGAGGAGGGGTTCGTGGATTGGGTGTGGTGGTGTTCAGCAATTGGGAATTTCGGTGTCGTCGGATTCTTGGTTACACGATCCGTTGTCGGGGAGTCTGGGGGCTTGCGTAGAGATCGAATACTTTTGAGAATCAAAACGAGTGACTGGTATGCGGTGCTAAAGAAGATGGCTCGATATCGATTGAGTTTGTGTCGCCTCGTTGCGATGTTGAAATACCCGATGGGCTTGAATGTTGATCATGGCCGCCTATGGGATGGGCTCCCGCGCATTTCCAGGAGCCTCGCAGTACGTACCTTTACGGTGACCTCCAGGTGAACCGGAGCTTGCGTGCTCCGATAAGATAAGCCGCTGCCTGCCTTCCCTGGGAGCACCCCCCACCACCAACACGACGCCTGAGTGCTGCGAGACTTCGCTTTCGCCATCGCTCGGTTCTCCATCTTTCAGCCCCAGGTCCACTCGTTCGTCCCGTCTATCTATTGTTTTACCCGCTGGGGAATACGATGGCGCGGGACTACCGAAGACTCTCATCCTCACTGCCGGATTTCGACACAATTTCCTACAAATTCTGGTGTAACTTGCAAGTTCAAGGCGTGCGCATCCGACACTGTGAATGCCATTGCTGGAACGGGTGCGACTTTGTCGTCGATGATACCAAGAACATCTTGACTTACACCAATGTCGAACTGTCTGCCAAGGAATCTCGTCAATGGGACAATGGGGTGACACGAAGGACCACGAAAGCGCAAGATGCGCATCGGCTCAAGGTGCCCGAAAAAAAAGTCTATGCCGGCGAAGACGACATTGTGTAACGGCGCCTTGCTGGGCATTCTCGACAGAGGTCGGCTTGACAACCATCGCACGCTTCACCCGCGACACCACCGCCCATGATCTGATCATCAGATACGGCGGAATTGAACGTTTCTTATGCCCACGGGGCCACGGGACATGATCTGTCATCGAGCGATGCAGGTCTTGGTTGTTTCTACTCTGCCACAAAAGCCAACATCGTCATTTGGAAGATGAATCGTGCTGGCAAAGTTGCCCTGCACATGGTCTATGGTGTGTCGAGGCCCAGCCATCGAGGGAGTCCAACCTCTTCTATTGTGCCGTGCTCAATGGAAGGGATATACTAGAGCCTAGCAGTCCAATGGTCACTGGCTTCACTGGCAAAGCTGTCGAAAAAGGGACTGTTTTGGGGTGCCACAGATGCCCCGCCGCAGGCTGGACTTTGAGACCTTGTCTTGGTTATCGACCCTTAGACTCCCGTCTTAGTTCGGCTCGCTTCTCCCTTCGACTTCGGGCCAATGGGTGCGATGCAGTCACCGAGTCTCGGGATCCCGTCTTGCGCATCAGTGTCTGAAATGATTTCGACTAACGATGGGACTAGTGACAGGTTGTCTGTTGGATCCGAGTCGTGCCGTCCGCCCTCTTGAGCATGTTCTGCTTGTTCATCCCTCCAAAGCATGAAGCTGCCGGCGTACACAAAGCGAGCACATATGACTGTTCAGATCCCCCCACCAGGCTGGCCCTGGTGTTTGCTGCTTCGTGAATTCGGTTTCAATGTACACGCTGTTCGTTTTGTGGTTCGTCGCTGTTTTTTTCTTGGACGAGTCTTTCTTCACAGGCATAGTTGTGCTTGGTTGTGCCAGCGATATTCTGCGCTGGTGATTTTAAGCTCATGTTCAATACGCAAGACGTTGAACAACAGGGATAGGGGCAAGAGACCATCACAGCATGTCCAACATGAACCCCCTGCACGCGCATCTGCAGCAGATCCCGCCACGCCGGCCGGAACATCCATCTAGTAGCCGATCACGGGGAACAAGTGCGCCAGGTCAAAGAACCAGAGTCGAAACGCAGTACCGCCCACCGCTGCCAGTCAACAGACCTACCATTAGATCAAGGTATACCTCGCCAGAAGATGCACCAAAGACTGCTGTGCCGCCGGTCCCACTTCAGCGGTCGAGTGCCTCCTCGGGACGCGTCTACAGCTCGTCGACGAGGCCATTTGACAGGAGCCGAAGTCCGGTCATGACGCTGCGCATCCTGTCACATAGTAGAGAAGGGCATCGAGACAAGAAGAGTCAGGAAGAGGATCAAGAGAACCGGCTGGTCCACGACTCCTGGGAGTTTCCCGTTCCGCCACGGGGCCTCGTACGATCTGGGAACGTCAAGCAGACTTCACCTAAGCGTCGACGTCTGCCACTAAGAGACTCGATTCTCTTGAAACGCAAAGACTCCTCTGATTCCTCCAAAGCTGGCGGCGTAGAGACGTCAGCCAGCACGCCTCGCAAAGCTCCCCCTTCTTCGGAGCCACAGACACCGTCCAGGCCGACGCATTCCATGAGCATGCCGGCAACCCCATCAAAAGGAAGGATGCCGGATATGCCTAGGTATGGGTGCCCATCGAGGACAACATCTTCAACAGTGGCCGGCTAACCTGGTAACTAGGCTTGGAGCCCATCCTAAAAATGAGCAGCTCAGTGACAGCCGCTCACAAAATCAACCTGCACGTCTGCCGCCAAGAGACTCCAACCTGGAAAGCTATCGGAAGGACATCAAGGCGTCGAATGAGGCTCTACCAGATGGTGAGAAGCCATTGGTGTCTCGCATCTGTTCCATGATATTGGATGAGGAATTTGGCGCTGGCGCCGACAGATCCTCGACTCCCCTCAAAGTCTGGGACACCGTAGCACGATGTCTCGAAGACATCTCTCGTCTTGCACAGACAGGAGGCGCCAGCAGCGGGGGCGGAGGGCCTGCGCAAGCCCGTCTGGCTCTCGAATCGAAGTCGCTCCAGGAGACGGCAGGCAGAGCTGGTGCTCAGACCAAGATGGCCGCGACAGACGAACGCAACGCGCAGTCTTTCAAGCAAGATACAAGGTCCAGTGGGGGGTCATCGATTGTTGACTACTATTCCTCCAATAATCAAAGAGAAAGCAGTGGCCAAGGTGGATTGCTGCCATGCCCTTACAGGCTGCGAAATCCGGCACGATTCAATGTCAATGACAAGTGGCATTGTGCCAACGGAAGATGGAAAGATTTTGCAGACTTGCAGTAAGTATCGAATCATGGGCAGAGTAGAAAGCAATAACTAATTGGTATCAGGAAGCATATCGCAAAGGATCATAAGCGTTGCGGCGGTGCTCACCTCTTTCAGTGCCCGCGGTGTGAGGATGGTTTCTCGGAGCCCAATGCATTCAAGCAACACTTGATGCTACCTAGAGAGCAAATGTGCGAACCAAGATCTGAGGTCGACTCTGAATGGACCGACCCGGAAGATGGCCTCAGCAGTTTGAAAGCACAGAAGCTATCTGAACAGATGGGCAACAAGGTTTTCGACTCGTGGGATGAGCTGTGGAGATGGCTATTCCCTCTTGATAGAGTGGTACCGAAGCCTGGTGAGGATTTCCAGATCCAAGATTGCAAACATGATCGCTGACAGACTTTAGTTGCCTTGCCCGCCGTAGAGCTGCCGCTGGTAGAACAGGAAGTCTTTGCTGCCGGCAACATGTCGAACTTGAAGGCTAGCTTGGAGGAACGGCTTCGGTTTCTCGCCTCGCAATCGGCCGACAGCGGCTCGTTCTCCGCGCAGATACCCGTTATCACTGCGTCTCTATCACTGGATGTTGAAGCGCATCTCAGGAGCGTGTTCATCTCTTGTCGCAATCAGCCGCCTGTTCACACCGGAAAGTCATCGGCGTCACTGGACACGGCAACTGGCCGACCACGTAACCTATCGTCTGCGTCCAGCTCCAGCAGCACCAGGAGTCTACAACGGTTCATCCAGCGTGGTCCTACGATTGCCGTCAACGAAACCAAGGGTGCGGCTTGGGACGGCCCCAGCCTCGAACGCCAACGTCAACGCCAGAGAAGCAATAGCAATGAAGCGAGGCGCGAAAAGCTGACACGGGCCGCAACGCTTCCAGTCCCAACAATGCTCACGATACCATTCCCGCGCATATCAGCCTTGACAGAGCACTCTGACGTAGGGCCCAGCCCAGTCTCGGAACACGACACCTCACCAAAAGCCCACTCGGACGCCGAGTACTCCTCGGGCGTCGAGTCAACGCCGAGCAGCGCCGGCGGCTTCCGGGAATCGAGCAACAGCAACACGACAGCAGACATTCGGTGCAGCAAGTGCAACATGAGAGAGAGTCTCCGACCTGGCGAGGACATCTTCTCAGACAAGCGCCACTTCAGCAGTTCCTCAGCTGCGGCGCAGGGAACACTGAAGTCGACGTGCAGGTTCTCCGACTCGGGAATTGGGATCCTTTGCAAGAGCTGCCGGATGCTCGAAGAGTTGATCAGTTCGTACTCGCGGGCTTCATCACAGGCGTCGGCAAAGTCTGAGCGACTAAGCCTGCCGATGGCAGGTGGTAGTGGTGGTGGTGTTGCTGCTGCCACCGCGAGGAGTACCGCCACGAGCGCGACGACCAATACGAGCTTGAACACGGCCCCGACGACGGCGCCGCCGTTTTCACCGAATCCGTCTGTCTCGGTGGACGAGAGCGAAGAGGAGACGCTGTTTGATTTGATTCTCGACTCGGCGACGTACCTGGATGAGGACGGGCAGCGCAAGACAGAGGTGGTATCACCCATGTTCCCGCCTCCGCAGATTGGGTTTTCAGAGTATGATCGATACGGGGGGCACGGCGGCGGTAATTGGTTCTGACTCTTTGCCGTTTTTCTCTGTTTTCTTTGCGGGTGTTTCTTTTGTTCTTCATCGGGTTGGGGGCGCAGAAATGGAGCGGTGTTTGGCGTTTGGGAGCCAGCGTCGCGCCCTGCTTTGGGTTTCAGCCGACTGGATGAAAAATCGTTTGAATATTCCCCGTTTGTTATTATTCGACCATGAGCTCTTGATTTAGTGTTTGCTAGGTTATATTGGATACCGAGGCCTCTACCATGACACTATAGATACCCGCGAGATCCGTGTGGTTTTGTTCATTACCTTTTCTAAATACGACATTTCCACTCGCCATTTGGCACGACAGTGATAGTTCTCATCGACTGCATACACATGTACTCTCATCATATTCCTCCAAACACAACTTCTTGGAGACTTAAATTACGGTATCCGTAGGGTAAAATATTGTATGAAACCTGGGGTTGGATGCCCGCCGTGTCCGAGCAGAGGATCCGTCAGCCCATGTTCCTGGCCAAGAATGCAGGTGCTCGTCGATCTGCACCCGCCGTCCCCGCAATTTTAGTTTAGCCCTGTGCGTAAGTTATGAAAGTATTGTGTAAGTCGTCTCTCTCGTTGTGGAGCTTTGCCAACAACATCCGAGGCAATTGATGAAGCACATTGTGGATAGAAGTCTAGAAGATGTATCCAGCATTCTTAACTTCTCACATTATCTGTAATTTCGCTGCAGTAGATACATAGCAGTGAAGCTAGTGATGAGAAGGCTTGCTGGGGTACGGCCCAGACACGCGAGACTAACCGCATCAGCGAACTCATCGGATCGGGACGCCCAGTGACGTCGAGGAACAAGGGGTAAACCCGCCCTACCGCGGGGTAGACGTCATCCTTACAGCACAGCTTTAGAGGCAAATTGGGGAAGGAAGGTACCTCAACACGCAAGCACAGCGAGGGAAGGTAGCTCCAGCTCGGAGCTTCCAGCTTTCAGATGTAAGTGCAATTCGGAAACATGCCACCAGAGCTCGTTCCGGAGCTTCCCCTCCTCCCTAATTACACGTGCCGTTCAAATACTATCTAGTACCCTCTGCCCCTTGTCTTCTTCTCCCTTTCCATCGAAAGCTTGATTGAAGGTTTCCTTGCTTCCGTCATACGATACCATTGAGCCCAGTCTACGAGAACCCAAAGCACAATGTCGGACCGAGGAGAGGGCTACAATGCCCGCCTAGGCGTTAATACCAACGAAATCCCCACTGCACAACACTTGCCCGTGGCATCGGGCGCCGAGCAGGATCGGTACGGCGGCTGGTTCGGTGGCAAAGCCGATAAAGCTACCGAAAAGATTGACCATGCTGCCGGCAGACTCAAGGAGAACCTCCCCCGCGGCGCCGGTGCCGAACAAGAACGTTATGGAGGCTGGTTCGGTGGGAAAGCTGACAAGGCCACCGAGAAGCTCGAGCATGCTGCGGACAGGATTAGAGAGAACCTGCCCCGAGGCGTCGGTGCCGAACAAGACCGCTACGGAGGCTGGTTTGGTGGCAACAAGGGAGACCAGGCTGCCGAGAAGCTGAGGCAAAACCTCCCGCGTGGTTCTGGGGCAGAGCAGGACCGCTACGAGGGCTGGTTTGGCGGCCACGAGCTCCCTTCTGTCGACAAGCTCGGCGAGAAGCTGCCACGTGTGTCTGGCGCCGAGCAAGATCGGTATGATCGCTGGTTCGGTGGTAACAAGGGACAGCCCGCCGGCACCTGGGTCAAGGAACACTTGCCCAATGCCTCGGGCGCCGAGCAGGATCGGTATGCAGCGCATTGGGAGGGGGTCGTTGATCAGGTCACGGACAAGATCAAGGAGAAGCTGCCTTCTGCCTCACAGATTAACGAGAAGCTGCCCAAGGGGACTGGCGCAGAACAGGATCAGTTTGGAAGTTGGTTCGGAGGCGACAAGTTGCCGTCTGCCTCGGACATCAAGGACAAGATTCCAAAGACGTCCGGTGCTGAGCAGGATCGCTTCGGCGGCTGGTTCGGCGGCGACAAGCTGCCCTCCGGATCCAAGGTCAGCGAACACCTCCCCCACGCCTCGGGGGCTGAGCAAGACCGCTTCGGAACCCACTTTGGTGGCAAGGCAGGTCCAGCTGCAGACGGGATCTCAAGAAGATTGCCGAGAGTCTCCGGCGCCGAGCAGGATCGCTACGGCTCGCACTTCAGCCTCCACCCGAGCAACCCCGTCAACGCCGCTACGACATCGACTCTCGGTCTCGTTCAAAATGCCCTCCTCCCATCCTTTGGCCTCCACGCTGGCCTGAGCACCGTCGTCTATGCCGTCGCGCGGTACACGGACCGCGCAGAAGCCAAAGACTGGCTGTGGCCCTCGGGCCAAGTCGCCAACGCCTGGTGGACCGCCATCGGCGCACGCGTAGTCCACGACGGTCTCTCCGTCCCCTCGGCATGGAACTCTCTCGGATACACCCAGAAACTTCTCCTGACTGGTGTTAGCGCCTGGGGTGCCCGTCTATTCTATCGCATCGCCACCCGCAGCGTGAAGCGTGGCAAGGATGACGACCGCTACGTCGCGTTGAAGAAGAAGGATTCCAAGTTCTGGGATAAGGCCTTCTTCACAATGTTCTTGCCCGAGGCCGCGCTGCAGGCTCTCATTGCTCTGCCGTTTACGTTGCCTTTCAGTGCGCCGTTGACGAGCGCGCGGTCGTCTGCTTTCACGGAGTTCCCCGAGACGTTCCATAGCTTGGCTGTCTTCCTCTTCACCACTGGTCTTGCACTCGAGACGATTGCGGATAGTCAGCTTGAGGAACACTCTAGCAAGAGCAAGGAGATTAACCGCGAGGGCGTCTGGAGCATCGTCCGCCACCCCAAGTAAGTGCCCCATGACTCTGAACTTCTGTCAGTGAACCGTAAAAGTTAACCAAGCATAGCTACCTCGGAGACGCCCTCGTCCACCTCTCTTTCCCCGTCCTTCTCTACAGCGCCGGTATGCTGCACCCCCTTGCCGCCCTCGGCCCCCTCGTCAACTACATTGTCCTCCGCTACCTCGGCGGCGACAAGGTCACCGAGGCCAGCCAGGAGGAGCGCTACGCCAAGGAGAACCCACTCAAGTTCCAGCAGCTTCAGGAGTACAAGCGCGACAAGAACAGCTTCTGGCCCAGTATTGGGGAGTATGATAACAAGTGGGTGTGGATCGTTGCGGCCACTGGCGCGGTTGGTGTCGCTGTTGAGCGAGGCCTTCTTGCTTACTTTAGGGGTTAAGCTTCATGAGAGGCGCGTGTAAAACATGAATGTATTGCAATACTTTGCGATTGATTGATCATCGCATCTAAAACTGAGGAAATTGTTATATGTTATCAAGACTACTACACTCTCGTCGTTGACAAAGAGCACGATGTGATTCGATTCCAGGCATTTTAAGTACGTTGATTGACGACGTATATTGACTGAAGTGGTTCCATGCCGTCACTAGTAATATCATTACTTCATTATCATGAACATCTCAAGCCGGAATGCTCAACTATGTACACCATAAACATGCCTACCCCCAAGGAGCCTAACATCTAACCCCACCCATCTCATGCTTACAACAAGTTCAAGTCGAGAACAATGCTCGGCGTGCCCTCGAAGCCCTGGGGAAGCGTGTACGTAAAGTTCCAGAACTCGAAGTCGCGGATGGGCGAGCTGGTGCCTCCCATGGACCCAGCAAACGACAGCGCGTACGTCTCGTTGACGTTACCCGAGACATTCACAGACAGGCCCTGAACATCAGCCCAGCCGGTGATGGTGGGCTTCTTGATAAAGGTACCGACGACAAACGTAAAGATGGAGTCGGCGGTGCCGTTGGGGTAGCTCAGGCTCAGCTTATTCGGCGCGACCTCGACGTCGAGCGACATCTCGGTGGGGTACAGCGAGATGAAGGCGATCTCGGCGCCCGTGTCCCACTGCACGACGGCCGGGTTGAAGGACGCCTGGTTGATGGAGGGACCGCCGACGACGTTCTCCTTGAAGGATTCGGCGCCGATGGTGAGGTTTTCCGAGAGCCAGGTGCTGATGTTGCGGGGCACGAGGTCGTAGGGCGGGTAGAAAGTCGAGGCGGAGAAGGTGCGGTCTTCGCTGCCAAAGGTGGTGAGGTTCGCGACGAGGCCTTCGGGGAGGAGGCTTGCGTGGAAGTCGGCGAGGACGGCGAAGAGGGGGGCCCAGGCGTAGTCGGCGGCGTGGGACATGACTTGAGGCTATTCAGAGTTAGTATGCCATTGTTCTACGAGCGCGCTCCTGGGGCCTTGGCCTGAGGAGCAAAGTCGAGGATAGACTCACAGCAGAGATGAGGGAAGAGTTCTCCTTTCCAACCAGGGTCCAGAACCACAGCGCCATCAAGCTGACGTAGCGGTTCATGTCGTAGCCGTAGGCGCGGTCCCAGGGGCCGGCCATGTTCTTCATGCCCGGGTGCCACAGCTGCGCGACGGCCTTCCACGTGTCGGCGAGCATCTGCGGGCCCTTTTGCGTCATGACCGAGTCCTCGGGGAGGTATTTGGACCAGAGGATCAGCCCGAAGAGGGAGACGCCCGTGTAGGTGCCTGAGTTGAACTCGGATAGCGTGTTGGCGCGGTCGAAGAGGTCGATGATCTCCTGGGCGTAGGACTCGCCCGAGGCCGTCATGTTGGGGTCGTTGAGGCGGCGGCCGGTGTAGCCCGAGACGAGGGCGCGCATGATGGCCTTGGCGGTGTTAGTGCCTGCACTGCAACAATTGTTAAGCAAGAAAGGAGCTTACAGGGTTGCTGTAGGCTGGGTAGAGGTTGTCGTCGTCGACGCCGCCGACGCGGTACTCGTCTCCCTTTGTGGTGTTGTGCAGCGACTCGAGGATGAGATCCTGGGTGTCGTTGCTCAGCAGGTGAGGGAACTCCTCCAAGGCCATGACGAGCGTCGTGCCGACGAAACCTCTCCAGTTGGGGTCCCACGAGTTGTAGATGCTATCCTCGTAGTAAGGCGATCCCACGTACGGTTCGCCGTCGTACTTTTGGTAGTCTCCGTACCTTTGTGTCGAAAGTTAGTCTCGTGCGTCCACGTCTACACAGGTTTGAAGAAGCTCTCACCATTGCTCCGAGACATTCTTGAATTGCGCGCCAATGGTGTTCTTGATAATCTTCTCGGCCTCAGCGGCGTCGTCGCCGTCGTTGCGCGCAAGCAGACCCAGGGCGTACCAGACGGAGCTGCGCGTCTCGTGCCGAAGAGCAGACGCGGAACCAATGTCGTAGAGGTACCCTGCGGAACGGTCGTAGTACTGGTCCATCCACGTCATGGACTCAGTCAAGAGGCCCTGGGCGTTGGTGGAGAGATTGGCGACGTACGGCGACACCGCCATTGTCGAGCTGGCGAGGGCCAGGATGCCCATCGCCTTGAAGGTGGCTGCCATTGCGAAGAGAGGAGAGGACGAGAGGGACCAATTGACGAATGACAGAGGAGTTGGAAGCTCAACAGAGACCTGGGGGTAGGGGACTCAATTACGATCCCGAGGGAGTGGTTTCAAGCTACCTTAATATACACCATCATATCGAATCTCGCTCACTCTTTTCCTCTCTCCGCGGCCAAGACCGCGGCCAAGAGTTGCCCATATCGCGCTGGACCCCCGGAAGATCGTCGTCATTACACAGATACGGATACAAGCCGCGTGACCGGCGACGAACGGCAGTGGGCGAGTACCAAGAGATGCCATGTTCAAGCAAGAAAAACCCCTCCCCCGGGGTCCCGACCCGGGTGCGCAATCAATCAAGCAGGCCAAGCTACTTTAGCGGCGGTGGCTGGGTGGGTTCCTCTCTCGACTTCGGGTCGGTGATGTTGGCCAGGTTAGGTAAGAATGCGGAGGTGATAACGAGGGTGGGAAGACATGGGGACCTTTGACATCCGTCGTTCTAGCTTTGAAAAAGACGGGATGAGAGTCTTGGTCCCGTAGAGAACATGAACGATTCGAATTCGCAGACCTTGGCTCAGTGGGACGTTGCAATTCCCAACGGGAGAGACCCCCTGTAACCGAGGAAAGGCAGCACGAAGAAGCATTTCGGGGCATCCCCGAGCGAAGAACAGGTGATGGCCCGGAAGGACAGTGGTATCACTGGGTTACGGGTATGGACCGGGGTCGTGGAAGAAGAAAGCCGGGGGAGATGCGAGATGCCCGGTTGGCTCTAACAAGGATCGTCCCTGGCCGATGACTCGGTACCCCCTGGCACGTCTCTTCTCCGCACTTTTAGCAGTTCAGAAGGGCAGAAAAGAAAGATTTCGGATGGTGTGGTACGGTTTAAGGTCCGATGAACGGGGGAGCTTGGTCTCCTTGGAGAAGTTGGAGGACCCGGTCCGATGTTTACCGGGTGATAATCATAACTATCAGCCGCGGCTTTGATGCCCGTATCTTTACACTAAACAACTCCTACGAATACTAGCAGAAGATCTGACTGGGACTACGATTTTATCTGCCCCATAGCTTGAAAATGGACCCGTGGTATCGGATCGCGGCAAAGCACGGCTTGTTTCCGGGGGACACACGGAAAACTGTAAACACAACCGTTCTTCATTCTCAATTGATGGGGTAAAATCACCTGATGGGTCTGGCTGAAGCCAGAAGGACCCCAAACGCACACTATCAATTGTGGACTAACGGCATTCTGGGGGCGAAAAACACCGTAAGGGTCCTACGGGTCTGCATGGATATATGTTGACGATGTCGCCCACGCGTGACTATGGCACGCGAACACGACGTCTTGAGGTGTTCAGTCGACAATTGACAATTGAGAAGAGCTTGCAATTGTGAACGAATATCACTTTGGCAGAGTTCAAGAGACACATCATGGCAGACGTCAAGACCCCCACCGACATCTCGTCGAGTCCGAGGCGGAGCGTCGACGCTGCCCCGGAGAAGAACCTCGACGCAGATGAGATCCGTTTGGCGCAGATGGGTGAGTTTCTCCAGCATCGCATCCTGCAATCATCTACTAACATACGCATCAGGTCACACCCAAGAGCTCAAGCGCCATTTCAGCACTCTCAGTCTCATCGGTCTCGCCTCAACGACGACAATCTCGTGGACCGGCCTCGGCCTCGGCCTCATCACCGAGATCAACGCCGGTGGGCCCGGCGCCGTCATCTACGGCTTCATCTTAGTCACGCTCCTGCAGTGCTTTCTCGGCGCGTCGCTGGCCGAGTTCGTCTCGTCATATCCCACCGAAGGCGGCATGTACCACTGGATCGCTGCTGTCGCCCCGAGGAAGATGACGGGAGTCTTGAGCTTTTTCACCGGCTGGTTCAGCGTGCTTGGCTGTAAGTTGTCTCGCCATTCAATCGCATGTCGGGATGGGTAGGCTGACAGGAGTTGACCTTAGGGATCTTCACGACCGCGTCAACGAACCTGATTTATGCTCAGGTCCTCATGGCCCTGATCGCGCTCTACCACGGAGACCTCGAGATCCAGGCGTGGCAGACTTTCATCGTCTACCAGGGGCTGAACCTCATCACCGCCGGGATCGTCATGTTTGGTAACAAGATCATTCCTGGACTGAACAAGTTCTCCCTCTTTTACCTGCAAATCGGCTGGTTCGTGGTCATGGTCACCGTGGCGGCGTGTGCCCCGACGCACCGTAACACCGATTTCGTGTTCCGCACGTGGATCAACAACACCGGCTGGGAGAACCAGGTTGTCTGCTTCATCACTGGACTGGTCAACCCTCTCTACAGTCTCGGTGGCCTTGATGGAGTTACCCACATCACGGAGGAGATGCCAAACGTGAGTTTCTTCTTGTTCCTCCATTTGCTCAACTGACAGAGAGTGACTGACCCTTGCTTAGCCATCTCGCAATGCACCCCTGGCTATCGCCATCACGCTTTCTATCGCCTTCGTCACGGGTATCACCTACCTCATCACCCTCATGTTCTCCGTCCAGGACTTCGACGCCCTCTCTACGACCAACACCGGGCTTCCGCTGGCCGAGCTGTTCCGCCAAGTCACGCAGGGCGCTGGGGGAGCGTTTGGTCTAACCTTCATTCTGTTCGTTGCCCTGGGGCCCTGCGTCGTCAGCTCCCAATTGAGTACCGGCCGTGTCTTCTGGGCCTTCTCCCGTGATGGCGCCATGCCCTTCTCCCGGATGTAAGTTGAGCCTCACTTAATTCCTGCATTGTTAAATCTGATGATCCTGACATGTTCGTGATAGCTGGTCAAAGGTCCACCACAAGTGGCAGATCCCCTTGAACTCCCAGCTCGCCGTCACCGCGGCTGTCGCAGCTCTAGGCTGTCTCTACCTGGGCTCGTCTACCGCATTCAACTCACTTCTCGGTTCCGCCGTCACTATCAACAACATATCATACATGTTCCCCATCGTCACGAACCTCTTGACGCGCCGGAAGAACATGCACCGCGGCGTATTCAACATGGGACCGACTTGGGGCCCCATCGTCAACGGCGTCACCGTCTGCTGGCTGACGTTTGCCATTGTCTTCTTCTCTTTCCCGTACGTGATGCCCGTCGAGCCCGCCAACATGAATTACACCTGCGTTGTTGTTGGCGGACTTACGGTTCTGGTTGGCGCATGGTGGTTCAAGGCTGGCTCTAAGTATAGCGAGAAGATGCTTCAGGCGAAGGAGGAGTAATTAAATCCAAGTCACTAGTATTCCATCTTCCGGAGCCGAGGAATAACTGAGAGTTTCCTCGTCTCCGTCGGATTCTCGCACTAGATGCTTGAAAATGCGATGGAGTTAAGAAAAGGAGCAAATAGTATAGATTACGTTAAACGTACTCGGAGCCGGGTTACCGGATTTCAATAATTTGTCCCCGCGGGTGTCACGTTAATGCATGCAACCATCGCGTAAACTCACGGTCCCACAAAGCTCAAAGATCAGAACTATGAGGTACTACTGCACTGTTCATAGTTTGCATGGATGGAGTAAGTAATTTAGTGTTCGAGGTTGATGCCACCCAGCTACCGGATCCTCGGGTTGAGCCACGTGGGGTTGACGGGTCCAGAAGACCCCCCTTTGCAATGTGCTACCGGTCAAGTCGGAAAGCGAACACCGGAGGACAGGAGAAAGCCGGCGACGACGACGGGTAGAATTGCCGATGTAATTTGTGAAGCTTTGGTTATTCACTATAGGTATAGTTGCGTTGACCACATGTGGTGTCGGAGCTAGCTGGGTATTATCTGAAGATTCATATACTCCCCTTCACCATTACGTTTCCACATTCACTACCTGAGTGATTACAGCCTAAGAACATATCAAAACTTGTGGTTCCCTTGTGATTGTCGTTACTATCCTCCTGTTCTAAACCAAGTTGGTCAAGACTACATCAGACACAATGAGGCTCATCATCAGGCCTGATAGCGCATCAGCATCTGCCCACGTTGCACACTACATCCTCGGTATGACCTCTGCATTAATTAGGGCCTTGGAGAAGATAAGCGAGAAGAGTCCTGACACCTCTTAGATCGCATCAGGACCTTCGAGCCAACACCAGAGAAACCATTCGTTCTCGGTCTGCCTACGGGCAGCAGTCCGATCCAGATCTATGAGATCCTAGTTGCAGAGCACAAGGCCGGCCGTATTTCTTTTCAAGATGTCATAACCTTCAACATGGTAAGCTCTCTACATTTCTAGTCCCGCAATCATTGAATGTCGCCGTCTTACAAAATGACCCAAGGACGAGTACGTCGGCCTGCCTCAGACGCATCCCGAGTCATACCACAGCTTCATGTTCCGCCACTTCTTCTCGCACGTCGACATCAAGCCCGAGAACGTCCACATTCTCGACGGCAACGCGCCTGACTTGGATGCCGAGTGCGCCTCCTATGAAGAAAAGATCAGAGCTGCCGGCGGCATTGACCTCTTCCTCGGTGGTGTCGGTCCAGACGGCCACATCGCTTTCAATGAGCCTGGATCAAGTCTGGCGTCTCGGACGAGGGTGAAGACCTTGGCGATGGACACTATTCGGGCGAATGCTCGATTCTTTGGTGGCGATTTGAACAAGGTCCCGCAGATGGCTTTGACTGTCGGTGTCCAAACAGTGATGGAGGTGTGTATTTGCCCCTTTCCATCCAAAGTCTCATCTCTTAGGGGAAGATGAGGCACTTGTCACAGCAGAGAACAGGCTCGCTGACAATTATTGACAGGCAAGAGAGGTGGTCATCATCGTCAATGGAGCGAGCAAGTCAATCGCTCTCCAGAAGGCGATTGAGGGTGGGGTGAATCACATGTGGACACTGTCGTGTTTACAACTACACCCGTACTCAATGATTGTCGCAGACGAGGACGCAACGTTGGAGTTACAGGTCAAGACAGTGAAGGTACGGATCTTACCTTCAATGGTGTTCGTGTTGATGTTTTGCTGACTTGTGCACCTCTCTAGTACTTCAAGAGCATTGAAAAGGTTGGCCTTGGAAAGGGCTTCGAGCAGAAACTACCTTTGAGATTGAGAACGACGTCACTTGTCAGCCCTCCTCAGACGCCCCAGATACCGTCTAACACAAAGCCGACGTTTGATGAGGATCACTTGGTGGAGTTGACGCCAGACAGCATGT